ACGGGATTGGATATAACTGGCTCGACCCGTATAGACCCGGGAACGATGCTACATGCAGCATTCCCGGGAGTTCAGGTGGTTTTAGGTTAAAACATGCTTAATGTTACATTGAATATACATTCACAAAGAATCACAGCCAAGTAGTGACATTATCCATAAAATCACATTTGCTGATCAATGCATAACGCCCCGAACAATGGCAAATGTTGAAATGACAGCAGAATCAAGAGCTAATAATACCATAACACCGATAATAAGGTACTATTAACTCTCGGTAGCTTTGTCCGAGCCCACACCAAATCCACAAAAATCGTCGGTGTGGGCATTGGTCAGAGGAAACTCGGACTACACTTAACTTGATACTTGCCGCCACAGTGGGTTTTCACGAACACTGAGCACCAATTGCCGACGTACAGCAGACAGGCGGAAGCGAGCATATACAGTAATTGCTCGCGTCAATAAAACTTTTAACCAGCCACGAACACCGACGCCACTTGTGAAATACGAGAGTAGTCACGGGAACCGACGCAGGCACATCATTTTCCAGTCGAATGACACTCGACCCAGAACGCCCCGTGTGCGTTAGAAGACTTAGAAGTGTTCGGCATTGCAAATTCCCCGAACATACATAGGTATAACCAGATCGCGCAGACGATGTTGCACACTACGATAATTATAACACGATCACAGCCTGATAGCGACTAGACATCAAACGTACACAACAGCAACGAGTGGCCTGCAAGTGAAACACACACACACGCGCACAGAGAGAGAAACTGAGAGAGAAGGACGAGCAGGGGGCTAGATCCACCGCATCACATGCGAATCATAGCTGATGAGTAATTGACGGCTCGCGCAACATGAGTCAGCTGCCGGCATGCGGCGCATGCACGACGCAGCAACCTCCCCTCGAGTACGGATAGCCCTCACTGCTAGTGTGCTAAAACGCTCCTAAGCCTACAAGCATGCGCTATATACATACGAACACGCATTCCACCATGCCAAGGTATGATCGCATGCGATATACATCGAATCTCCTATGTATAATATCTCCGACCTTTCCGAGTCGAAAGATCGAAAATGGTGTACCTCCTGATATTATACATATGTCATCTGCACGCAGCACGGACGAGACACAACTACACACGTAATACTACGACTCACTCCTGCTCTCTACTACGCAATAGGTCGCGCACAGATCAATAAATTCCCTGTTACTGCCTTCCCACGGCTACCTACCCACCCACACGCCATCAAGTTACGTGCTCGGTTAGATATGGAAACTACCACGAGAGGGAGCTACCCTCCAAGCATGCTAGCGCCGTGCTTACGTACCGTCATCGTCACTAAAACTGTCACACGGCTCAATATCTGCAAGAGCACATCAGCACAAAACCAATTAACGTCTAATCACGTCTAACTATTAATTAAACAATCACTCCCATAGAAAAAGCATACATGACTATGTCTGGAATCTGTCAGTGTCTATGCGGTACTCCCTAACCTGACTCCTCGTTAAATGACACCAGCATTGCATTCTGATTCAGCCCAAAGAAACGATCCGGGGGATGTATAGATAAGAAAGAACAGCTAGAAGAAACGTACAGTTATAGAAATTAGAATAAAAACTCGATTGCTAAGTGAGCCTCTCCTTTTCAGACTACTACAAAGCTAGCCTCCACTCCCCACCACACTCGCTCAACCCTCTCTAGTCATGGTTGCCTCAACATTAATGTTGCACTACAGAATGAACGTACAAGTGTGCAAACGATGACCGACGACTGAAGCTGAGAAAAAATTACGTGACCTAAACTAACCTTTACCAAACCATACACAGGTACGAGTAGAGACAAACAATCCGACCGCAAATGTCAAACTTTGAGACAGTGGCTGCACGGTATACCAGCTTTACGATACAAACAACACAAACTGTGATAAACACACAACAGATGCGTCGCAACAAGACAGACAAGTAGAGACCAAAGTAAATCGGACGGCAAATCTCACCTGCGAACGGGCCCTCGGCTTCGCTGAGCAGGGACACACTGCTGCTGATGCTCACACGGTCCAGGCTGTCCGACGACACGCACTTATCTCGCGCGCCCTGCATCCACTCCTTCCTGCGTGCGTCCTCCGTCGCCACGGCAACCCGACTCTCGCGAGCCTCGCCGCCCAGACTCCGGACTCCCGTCGTGTCGGCGCGAGCCTCGCGCGTCCGGGGTACGCTCCCGCTGCGCTTCCCGTCCGTCGCTCTCGGGGCGAGGTCGCCCGGGATCAGCGTGGGGTCGCCCGGGGTCACCGTGGGGTTGCCCGGGGTCAGCACAGGGTCGCCTGGGGTCAGCGTGGGGTCGCCCGAGGCCGGCGCGGGGTCGGGGCATGGCGGCCGCTCCTCGTCCATCCCCGTGCTCGCGGATGCGCGCGGTCGCGCGGACGCCGACGTCTCGGCCAGCCGCGCCTCAATCTCCAGGAACAGAGACTCGTCCGTGAGCGTCTCGATGTCTCTAGACTTCCTCTTGCAGGCCGACTGAAAGCGGGAAGCGTGTGCGCGCGTGAGGGGGAGACGTCGACGAGACAGCTTCCTCTGCTGCGCTTCCTGCGCGCAGAACGCGTGTTCCGGTATCGGAACGCCACGATAGAAAACAGGCCATCCTGTCACTATGGCTACGATACTATACTGCTCTAGGATATCACTCACTGTAATGCCTAAACAGACTTAACTTATTCGTCCAGCGGACTGCCGTCGTTGTCCTTCGCCGCGGCGACGGGCCGCTTCTCCTTGTGTCGCAGCTTCACGACGACGCCCTGCACTGTCATCTCATCCGGTGGTGGCTCTCCCTCGCCGCGCGCGCCCGCCGCACCCTCCCGGTGCGCAGCGGGCTCGGCGGCGTTGCCGGGGGTAACGGCCTCGCTGCTACCCGGCGGACGACTGATCGATTCGTTACCCGGAAGGAGGCTGCTTGCATCCGCGTCATCACAGAGTTGTTTTGAGCATTCTGACGCTGGCGTTTTGCTGTTTACGACGTTGGCGCAACTTTGCACAGATTGCTCACCTGGGTCTAGAGTTGCACCACAGCTTCTTGAGCAAGTCTTAGCCTCGCTAGATGGCACTGCTGTGTATACTTCTGTACATTGCGTTGTGATCACACTGGACACGGACAGTTCGGTTTGCTCGCATGCACTGTGGTTGGTGGAAGGTTTACCACTTGGCACTGCTGTTTCCATGTCAGGATTTACAGAAACCACCGTATCTATGCTCGAATCTCCAACAACCACGTTTGCAGCAGAGCTTGTGTCGGGTTTTCCAGCAACCACACTGGAAGCAGGATCTGTGTTGGGTTCTCCAGCAGCCACATTAGAACTAGAAGCAGTGTCCGTGTCTGTGTTGGACTTTTCAATAACCATATTGGAAGGAGTGACTGTCTCCAGTTTGCTGGCAACCACACTGGGTGCAGGGTCTGCGTTGGGTTTTCTAGCAACCACAGTAAGCACAGTCTCTGTGTCTGTGCATGATTTTCTAGTAATCACACAGAAAGCAGAGACAGTGTCGGGTTTTCCAGCAACCACACTGGGATCAGAGTCTATCTCAGGTTTTCCAGCAGCGACGTTAGGAGCAGTAGCCATGCCCGTCTCGGGTTTTTCAGCAACCACACTGGAGGCAAAATCGGTCTCCAGTTTACTAGCAACCACACCGGGAGCAGGATCTGTGTCGGGTTTTCCAGCAACCACACTGGGAGCAGAGTCTGTGCCGAGTTTTCCAGCAACCACACCGGGAGGTGTGACGCACGCCTGATGATTAGTAGTGATGGCGCAATTCCGCCGCGTGACGCAAGCCCGCGTACGAACAGCCGTGAGAACGCGGCGGTGGCGGCGCGCGCGGGCCGGCGCGTGTCTGCGTATCAGTGAGAGTATCGCGAGCGAAGCGGAGCGAGAGACGACGTTAGAGTGTGTGTCGCAAACACGCGAAGCGCGCTCCAATCCTCACCGCCACGCACACCCGCGCGGGAGCAATAACAGCGGAAATTTGGTTGGTTGGCCGGGGGGCGGGGGGGGGGGGGGGCGGGGCGGCCGGGGGCAGTACGGGCTGTTATTCTTCTTCTGCTACTTTCCTGCCTGGACGTCACCGAGTGCGACCGACCGCCCGCCCTTCTCTTGAGTGCTCCTCTCTCGTCCGTCGACATATCTCTCGATAATACTCGATCTTTTTATTCGCAGAACTAACACAGTGTGAGTGTGACGCCTGTACCGTGCTGTATCACTCGCTCTCCCTCTCTCCTCTGCGTGTGTGTGCTGTGCTGTGCCTGATGCTGTGTCTAATCGCTCACACTGTTTCTCTGCTGTTTCTATCCCTCAGGGCTACTCATCGGCGCGACGGCTCCGTCGAGCCGGCGCCTCGCCTCTATCAGAACGTTCCGCGGCCGCGCCTCGCGGCCTCCTAAGCAGCGCCCTCTAAACTCTGACATCTATGAAAGCAATGGAACTCTCGCTCTCCTCTCGTCCTGCTCTGCGGCTCCGCCCGCGCGCCGCCAGCCGCCTCCGTCCGTTTACAGAAGACATGGCGCCCGTCTCTGTGAGCGACAGACGCGAACTCGGTGTGAGTTTTTTGGCCCGAGACAACACCGGGGAAGGGCGACGCCGGTGCTGCGTCGGAACGGCGGAGAGGTCGAGACGGCAGTGGCGCCATCTAACGTCGTGGCGCGCGACAGGGGTTATGCAGAACGTCAACCGATACGCATTGCTGGAAAGCTGAAGGAGCTGCTAGTCCGCGGGCCAAATGAACATGTGGAGAAAACTCTCCTGCTGGTCGCCAGTGTGGTTTGCTGGACACACCCCGACACAGACTCTGCTCCCAGTGTGGTTGCTGGCAAAACACCGGCACAGACTCTGCTGCCCCGGGTGTGGTTGCTGCGAAACCCTGCACAGACTCTGCCCCGGTGTGGTTGCTGAAAACCTGGCAGCAGACTCTGCACGGTGTGGTTGCTTGGAAACCTCGCAAGACTCTGCTACCGGTGTGGTTGCTGGAAACCCGACACAGATCCTGCTCCCGTGTGGTTGCTGGAAACCCGACACAGATCCTGCTGCCAGTGTGGTTTGCTGAAACCCCCCCGAACAATCTGCTCCG